TCTTTTAGCAAATATGGTGACCAGACAACACTTGCATATTCAAGGTGTAGGCGGACGCGAGATTTGTATAGTGATAAAAACATATTTTTTTCCATAAATATAAATGTTCTAAAGATGAGACCTAGGTTCCTGTTGGCTTTTCTTCAGAGGTTGATATGTGCTTTTCAAATTTTGCCTTGCTGTCTACAATAACTCCGAGGTCTTTTTCACTATCTACTGTACAGATATTGTGTATCTGATCATCCTGATTGGTAGTGTACTACTATACTAGCACTACCAAAACCGGAGAACAAAATGGAATTGCAGAGATTTATTGGAATGGTAAATTATGTTGGAAAGTTCAGTCCGAATCTCTCCGCTGTCAATCAGCCATTGAGAGAACTACTGGAAATTGGTGTAGCATGGCACTGGTTAGAAGGATACCGCGTTTGAAGCTCTATAGCGTGCAATTACTACCGCACCAGTACTTTGGTATTACGACGTTTGAAAAGGTATTAGACTATCAGTTGATTCGTCGTCATACGGCTTGGGAGCGTGCATATTACAGAAACAGCAACCCGTCGCATACGCATCGAGGGCATTAAATTCCGCAGAAAAAATCTATTCTCAAATTGAAAAAGAGACGCTTGGAATTGTGTATGGGTTTAAGAAGTTTCATGAATATGTGCACGGCAAAACTGTTCAAGTAGAAACTGATCATAAACCACTAGAGAGCTTATTTAAGAAGCCATTGTCCAGTGCGCCTCCAAGACTACAGCGTATGATGCTGAAAGTTCAGCAGTACTACTTGGTGGTTACATATCGTCCGGGGAAAGAGTTGTATATCGCCGACACACTGAGTCGTTCTACGGCGCCGATCATTGAAACCGCATCCGACATTGATGAGTTTGAGGTGCAAGTGGTTGAAACAGTACCTTTCAGCCAGGAGAAATCCACACAGTTCTTGAGAGAAACCGACAGTGATAGAGTACTAGCTAAACTCAAAATCACAGTTATGTCAGGTTGGCTTAATAACAAACATTGCCTTGACCCAGATTTGAAGCCATATTGGAATTTTAGAAACGAAATTAGTGTTGTCGATGGAGTTTTGTTGAAAGGTAATAGAATAATTACCCCTGCAGTTCTGAGGCTTGAAATGTTGAAGACTTTATATAGTAGTCACTTAGGCAAGATTAAGTGTATCCAGAGAGCCAGAACTGCTCTGTCTTGGCCAGGCATTACGAAGCAGATTGAAGACATTTTGAACATACCACCTCGTCTCCAAGGTACCCTCAGAGTAATGGATTGGTAGAGAGATCCGTGCAGACCGTTAAGCGTCTGTTCAAGAAAGCCCGAGACGACCATCGTGATCCGTACCTAGCTCTAATGGATCTCAGGAACACACCAATTCCTGGTGTAGAGTTGTAACGACAAGAACCAAACTACCTGTCAAACAGTCTCAATTGAACCCACTGGGTTTTGAACCTCAAGCCGCCAAAACGTCGTTAGAAGAGCAGAAAGTGCGTTAGAAATTCTATTTTGGCAAAGGAGCTCATTCGCTCCCACCTTTACATATAGGTGACAATGTACGTTTCATAGCACCGAAATTGAGCAAGGCTGCGTTGGACCCAGACTCAATATAAAAAAAATCTCTCGTCGTCAGAAAGCTCTCGAGTTGCTCAACCATAGACCTTTCAAAAAAAATGGAAATGGTGGGTAATATGCTCACTGGTCTAGAGTATTTTTTACTTAAAGGGTTCTCTTTTTTTAAAATAGGGGTAACCCTACCGTCACTGTACCCAAATCGGGACAGTATCCAAAACGGGATACTTGTTGGAAAACGGCCCAAAAACTGTCATTCAATGCAAAGAAGTACTTTTATGTATACAGTTTTCATATGATAATACTTTTCATGAAAATTAAACTGTATTAAGCTTTATTGACTGCTGATTATCGTTACAAGTATAACTATAGGTAAGAATAATGACCAAAACAATGTGACGTGCGACGCTATCTATTTGGATATCATTTTCAAAGGTCTATTTTATCAAAACTCGTGCTAGTTTGGAGAAGAAATTTAATCGGAACCCTCGTTGACTCTAAAATATTTCAACTATGCATATTTTCTGCCGATATTGATATTTTATCTCCAAATATTAGCCAAAATACCAGAAGTGTCCCTTTCAGATCACAGTAATGCCGGTTCAATGGCCTACGTAGCTCTGATGGTATTTCGCGTTCTTTTTATAGAACCACGCGCCCGAAGTATCAAATTATGATAGAAATGAAAACTGGATAGTATCTATTTATGACAAATGAACAAACATTTTTGGAATTGATAGTATGGTATAAAGAACATTGATATTTTCCTAAAAACTGTCCCGGTTTAGGTACAGTGACGTTAGCGAGCTGAAGTTGGTCTGGAAAATAACCTTTAGATAAAACCATGTAAACCAAGTTTGTAATAGGTCTTGCCATATCATTACTGGTGAGATGAAGAACCTTAGGAGATATAAAATCTAAACCTGTCAGGCGCGTAGCTAGCCCCTTTACCATGTGTAAGCCCGACATAGGGTTGCCAAAGGCAGCCCCCCACC